TTTCCGTGGCATAACTGATGTTACCTTCTCATTTACAACGTAGTGCTTCGACCAGCGTGTGTGGTGTAGCGATTTGGTGCTTTACCATAGCACGCGGAAGACCTGAGTTTGACTCCCTTGTAGAGGAGAATTTTATCGAGTTTCTCAGTCTGTGTGCCGAGACGTTGTCAGCCCGAGTTGGCCCTGGCCGTCAGGATTATAACTCGCCTTCTAAATAATCTATCTTGTGTCGATGGGGGCGCCCCCCCCAAAAAAACAACAACAACATATGGTGCTTTGTCTTTCACCTTCTTACACTTTGACTGGTTGATTGACTGATTGATCGATTGGTTGAAGTAGGCACTGGTCAGTCACTATTGTCCCTAAAATTTTTACTCAGCAATTTTCTGCTGTGTTTTATGATAATGGCGCTTCAAGGTCAATATGTGACAGAAAAATAATGTGGGTTCCAGTTACTGTAATTTAAGATAAATGACGTTCAGCGGTTGGCTTCTACACTTTTACGAAAAAATAAAAGAAAACGTCGAAAAAAGCTGTATGCCTGTACTGTCCTGCCATGACTGTCATTATCTATACAAATTTTACTCCAGGGTTATCTGGTGCCGTTTTGGGAATTATCTACAACCGGAAGCCCTTGTCTTACCCGATATTAGTTGCTTTACGAAATTGAGAAAATTACCAAGATGATTTGTACCGTTTTCTTAAAAGCCATATAGATCTATTGTATCTGCGCAATTATATTTCTCGCCGGACCTACTTAAGTGTAAATGAAGTAACTCAGGATTTCCTTTTCAAAATTTTAGCCAAGCGGTAGGAGCACTCAGATAACAAGTGCACGATTTTTTGTGTGCGAGTGTCGGAGAGACAGTAATAGGGATGAATACAAGAATGTTCTTGAAACTTTAACCCTTTACAAGCGTGCTCCCAATAATTTGTACGTTCGTTTTTGTAAAGACAACACTTTTTACAAAGAGGGACGTGCGTTACTTTAAAGAGGTAACGATTGGATGGATCAATTGGCACTTAAAGGCTGAGAGAAAGACACCTTGGCTTCAGGATCATTCAGAAGCAAAACATCAAAGTCTCAAGTAGTGTTGAAACAGTCGAACATTAAAAAAAGGGAGTGCAAATATCTTAAGTTTACGGTTGCATGTTGTAAAAAATAGTTGAGCATTTTAAGGGAGCCTTTAGCAAAATGAACACCGCCGCCTTAACTTGCATAAAAGTATTCCCCCTCTACCATTGTCATCGCTACTACCACTATCACCACTACTCTGTAACAACTGTTGTGGAAAAATATGATTACGTTAAGACAAATTGAGACAAACTGAGACAAACTGCTGTGCAAAGTATGGGTGACACTGATTCACACGTTAAAAAGATATTTGAGGATAGGTTGGGCCACGAATTTTTGACAGCACTATAGTGCTGTGACGTTGCTTTGCTCTTAGCCCGACCTGGCCCTGACAGGCAGAGCCGAAGCTCGTCTCCTAATTCATCTAAATTGTGTCGAGGAGGGGGGGGGGT